CTGTCCTTTATAATTATCAACAGTGTTTAAGTTTAGAATACCTGAAGATTAAAATCTCCCTACTTTCACTCAGAATAAACAATGCCGTGGGTATATAGCACCTGCACTCTGAGAGAGATGACGTTTTTGTTTCTATGTATATAATCTCGTATTCTCTTAGTCTAGAAGATAATTTCAACAGACTTTTTTATAGTTTTCCAAAGAATCTCTAAAGAGAACGCCAAACAACGCTTAGTGAACTAGTCCATTATCTTTGAGTTGTTTTTATTGCTGTACCCAAAGACTGATTTTACTGTCTTCAGTCCCTTTTCTGCAACTCAGTCGAATAAAATTTTCATTTATAACTATGTAAATCTTCTACTTCTCGTGTATCTTGTTATTAGTAAGGCGAGTCTTACCTATCAGAAATAAATAAGCCTGATAATACACACAATCATCGACGTCGCATTTAACATAATTTTAGGGACAACAAGGGATCTGTTGGTCTTTCTCGGCTGTCCCATCCTTTAAACTAAACTAAAACTATTAGATAAAAACTTTTAAAGCCAGTCCTTATCATTCATATAGTTATCAAACTTTCTCTTAAACTCACTTATATTTAATGCCACAATATGCGAAAGCAACCCATTCCAAAGGCCAACCACCCTGTTAGAAAAAAAAACCGTCTTAACTGAAGATGACTCCTACCTTGCCAAAACTTATATTTGTGTCCCGTAGTCCTTCTATTCTCGCCATTAAATATGATAAAAGATGATGCATCAACACTATCAATTCCATTTACAATCTTAAATACCTCAATCAGATCCCTCTAACTCTTGTTTTTCCAAGAGAAAACTATTTCAAAGATCCTAACCTTTCCTCGTATGACAATCCCTCCCTCCCCTGAACCATTTCCAACAATTCAATGTTCTTCCTAAGGCAAGGAGCCCAAGACTGAACACAATATTTCAAATGTGGCCAAACCAGTGACCTTTTCAATAGTATTTTAATCTCTTTAGACTTCTATTCAATATTTCTGTAGATACAACCTAAAATCGTGTTTGCTCTACCACTAGCAACAGCACACTGCTTGGATGGCTTAAGAGACTGATCAATCATTACACCAAATCCATTTCTTTCATGACACTGAAAGGTTATTCCCACCAAAATTGTACTTATAATTCAAATAATGATATCCCACATGCATTATATTGCATTTATTATAATTAAAACCCATTTGCCATATATTTGTCGAACTCACTAAATGCTCTAAATCGATTGTAAAGCAGCAACATCCTCTTCATAGCCAAGAACACTCAAGACCTTAATATCATCAGCAAATTTAAGTAACTTATTGACCATTCCTTCGTCTATGTCATCGAGCGAAAAGAGCAAAGGTCCTAAGACTAAACCCTGAGGTACCCCACATGTGACATTAATCCAGTTTGACTGAATTCCATTTATAACAACCCCTGCTTTCTTCCATACAGCCACTCTTCTCTTCAGGATTGTTCATAAAATAGTCATCGACAAGCTTTACTGCCAAATACAAATTTTAGTGGTTCAATTCAAAAGATTCTTGAACTTCTACTTTCAGTCCACCAGGATAGCTCTCATACACTTGAATATTTTAGGCTCCTCACTGTGGTACTTTTCAACATGGAACTTCTAATTTTATTTTCTGTAGTAACTAAATATATTCTTTGCATACAAAGCTTCGGCAAAAGAGTCTTCAAGGCATTCATGGTCAAAATCAAAGATTCCAATGAAACAATTTGGGGGGAAAAAAGGCTGCATTTTCACATTCAGGATTCTTATCTTTTGATTCAGCACAATGTTCTTCGACTTTCGTAATGTACAAAATAATATCTTCCCCTTGTTCCTGGCTACTCCAAACAGTATCCTCAGAGAATGTATTGTGAGCATTCTGTTCTTAAAAAATTATCTTGCACTTGTTCAGCACATGAGTAATATCCTAAAATGTGTTTCATTAATGGTCGTCTGTGTTCATAACCTAGGCCGCTGTCTATGTCATATTAATAATAGCCGGTGGGACATCGGTAAGTTTAGGGACTTATAGGGCTAAAAACCGGGGAATGATTCTTTGTGGTGGACACAACAGATACCTAATAAACAATAATAAACACTAAACAAACAAATGTCATATTAAGTAATATAATCGCAGTGGATGTTTAAGAGAATATTTTCTCAACTAGTGTTATTTATAACAAACTAAGTTTAAATCTCAAAAACATCAGTTCTTTTCTTTTTCAAAAATCGATGAAGTTTCCTATTTCTATTAAATATAATTCAGAATACCTGTTCCGTTTTGTGTGTGTGTTTTTTTCAAAGCTTTACTTCATGAACATAATTGTTGTTTTTGTCAATTTTCGTTTGAACTTTGTGTGTTGTTTTTGTGACTTAAAACCTATTTTACATGCGTTTCTATCAGTGTTATAAATATTTTGATAAATTTTTGTTTGTTTGTTTGTTTTGAATTTCACAGATTACTTTCTAGGCCGCTTTGCCATTGTTTTGTCTAATTTCTATTCACTTCAAGACTTTTATTTTATGGTTTATGATTAGTTTTCTATCGTTTAAAAATTGTAGTTCCATTTATTGGGTACTATTTTATGAACATATTTTGTATTATTGTGGTGACCTCTTGCGGAGGCTTAGATTTTGTATGTTTGGTTAGGTTGGATTCGCCTGAGATCAAACAAAACCAAGCTAGGTTTAGGCCTAGTTACCGTGGTTGCCACGTCAGTAATAGTTTTATTATATATATATATATATATTTCATTTTAGGCGTATGTCATGTTCTATTCTATTCACCCGTACGTTATACGAGTATTTAAGTTATAAACTTAAATTATGTGTACCGCTATCGGGACAAATATTTTGTCATAGTATAACTATAACTTATAAGTAAGTAATAATATATATTACTATGAGAATGACGTTTTATAACTTTAAGTTTTAGTTCACAATATTCAGTTTCAATTTACCTTTTTTTGGTAAGCTATAAAACAGACTAACTGCATTGTATTATTTCTTAAATATCTAAAAACTGGTTATTTGTCATTTCAATGAGAAGATATTATTTTATGTTTAAATGTTACTGTCATTAGGCTTAACAGTGTTGTCAATAAATCAGGTGTTGATTATTTATTCCCAAGCTACAGTTTGTTAAGCAAGTCACAGATTGTAAGATGCAATTAATGGAAGGAGTGGATTTTATTTAGGAACGAGTATACACTTTTGAAAGAGCTAGTTGTATAGATGTGCAATTTGTTTGTAGAATTTGCAGATAGGTGGCAAAATTAAAGTCTATTCTAAATGAGTAGAGGCAATAGATAAAAAGAAGGGTAAATTGTGAAATATAGCAACAGGACTTGAAAAAGAAAAGTTTTGCATGAGGAGGCTACACTAGCTAATAACGATTTTCAGAAAGTTAGAAACAGTATTAATAGAGCTAGAAGTAACGAACTTAATTCTAATGAGCAGTTTATATTAATGGATTTCAGCCTTTAGCTTGTGCAGATTAGATGTATAGGAGGGAAGGAAAACAAATGGGGATGGGATGGAAATTCAAAACATAAGGTTATAGTTATAGGTGATTCTTTATTATGGTAAGTATATAGAATAGTGTGTAGTTAATCATGCACATACGCGGGAGGTTCGGCTAAACCCCCTATCTTTGTTTCCATAATAGAACAATGCTGTAAAGAATTAATTTCAAGAGTGAATGTATATGATTGTTCAAATTGTATTTTCAAGCACAGCAGTAATATAGCAAACAAATCTAATTTTAATGTTAGCATGCCACAAGTTAGTCAACAATAAACTCAACATGTAAATGCAGAACATAGTTCTGTGTAGGATTACTTTAAGAAAACAGTAACCATTTATTTTTTTGACTAGATTATTGGTAGTCTTTCCTCCAGATTTGATGCACATGTAAAGCAAGTAGCATCGGTTCATAAACTTGTGCCATCAAAACTCACACAAGAGTTTTCTATCTCTAATAGGACAAGTTATATAATGAAGTATGCTAGTAGGAGTGATAGTTTTTGTAAGTTATAATGCATATAGGGGCTAATGTCATTATGTAGGGATAAGTACAAGGGATTGATAGAAGTATTTAAAGAAAAAGGGTCAAATTAATTCTGTCAGGGATACTGCCAAAACTTAATTGTGGGGATGAAGTTATAAGTAGGTCACAAAGGTTGAATTCCAGACTTAAGATAATATGTAAGAACAAGTAGGTTGGCTGTTTGGGCTTGTGGGATCACTTCAATTTAAAAAAAAAATGCTTGTCAGAATGGATAGTTTATACGTATATCGAACAGGGACTGACTTGTTTGCAAGGGTTAGTAACTTAACTGTGAAAGCAGCTTTTAGTTAGAACTAGACAGTAGGGTAACGGCCAGAATGAAATAAGTGAAAAAAAAATAAGACAGAGAAAAGTATAGTGTAAAAACAAAGTACATAAGTAGATTTAATGGTAAGCTAAACTGCTGTTATTGTAATACTAGAAGTACAAGAAATAAAACAGACTTTAGAGCTCTATTTTAAACGGAATTTTAATGTAATGGGAATAACTGAAATTTTGTTAAATGTAGACAGTTTTAATGACAGAAATGTCTTTGAAATACAGGTTTATAGGTTTTTTGATAGGGATAAAAAGAGGAGAGGAATGGATTTATATGTAAAATGAGAGTTTCATCCTGTTAGAACTAATAGCAATGAGGTTGAATCTATTTGGATTTTTGTTAGCAGTTATAAGGGGAGAAAGCTTGTAGTTGGAATTTGTTCCAAACTATTAGATGAAGCTGATGGGAGTAGGGCCTTTACAGGATGGTTCTTTACCTTATAATTATGAGATTATTGGAGTACTAAATTTTACTTTTTTTTCAGTTTTGACTGTGAATGTTTAAGCAGTATTCCTCATCCTAAGCAGTTGTTCTGTGATTGAGTTATGAAGCTTTAATGTATGCTTTGCTCGCTCTCTCTCCTGCGAACTAGTGAATGTGTTGTACACTTGGAATAACTTGAAGATCTGGGACTTTTGTTTTTTGATTCTAATGAATCCTACCATCAAGAGGCACTGGTATATTTGCCACTTGATAATAAAGGCATGATTATGAATTTTCAAACCAGTTGTAAACAATGGCCAAAATTTAGGGTTTAAATACCAAAAGCTGGCAGAGCATTGGAAAACAATATGCCCAAAATTTATGATAAGAATCATACAAGTGGCATTTTTTTTTCATTCCACATTCCTTTTGGGCTGGTTAGTTTCCAGTGCATTGCCAGCTTTTAGCATTTAAACAATAACCTTTACTAGGAACAAAATGTTCTGTAATTTGGCTGGTAAAAATATTTTGTAAACAAAGTAGAAGTAGTGTGACGAGCTTATAAGACTTGGAATTTTTACTATAGCTTTCCCTGATGCTGGTTGGTATGTTGAATATAATCTTTTCTTTGGTTTCAACAGTCGTGACCAAGGCACCATCAGAGCCGAGCCAAGATGAGAACAAGCTTATCTATGTCTGCTCTTAATCTAGAGGAATGGCGACAAGCAGTTCGTTCACCTCCAATGTACCGAATTGGCAATACAACCATGCGAATGCAGTTTAATTTTGTTGGAGCTATTGTAATTGTTGGTATTGCTTTTCTCGTTGTACTGTATACATTTATGCCTTATTCTAAAGATGGATTCCACATGACCAATGACTTCTTAAAACATGATGATCATCAACATAATTCATTACATGTAATAGAAGAAAAGAACTTTAAACCGAGTCTTTACTATAATACTACTTATCCTCTAACTCCTCCAGTTCGAACAGATCATGGGCTTCGATTCAGAATAGCAGTAGTGAGTGATTTGGATACAGCATCAAAAGCTGAACAAGAACCATTTACATGGATAAGTTACTTGAAAAAAGGGTTCCTTACAATTGATCTTGCAAAGAAGTCAGTGGAATTAAAATGGGATAAAGAAATCATTACAGTCAAGTCCAAGCTTTCTCAAGAAGGCCGTGGGATGGAGCTTTCAGAACTTGTCTTCTTTAATGGCAGGTTATTAACAGTAGATGATAGAACAGGAATTATCTTTGAGCTAATTAGCAACATAGCTATCCCTTGGGTTATTCTCACAGATGGAGATGGAAAAAGTGCTAAAGGTAAAAACTATTTTGTATTTTTTTTTGTTATTAAGTATTCTAATAAATTTGTGGAACTGGTGGCTTAAAAAACTTTCATAATTTATGTTATTGTTCATGCAATTGATGATGTAAATATCACCTACTCCACTACTATGTATGTCATACCCCAGCTGGATTGATGGGCCTAGTATTGACTGAAAGGCCTCGTCGGCACTTAATGTGGCAGATAAAGTTTGGTTGAAACATTATAACTTATTTTTCTTTGGTTTTCACTCATAAGTTTGTAGAATATAGAATTACATAACTATTCATATATTGAATATTTTTACTGTATTCTCCAATTGTGTGTGTGTGTGTGAGAGTGCATGACCAGTATACGTACTACTTGCTTTTGAAATAAATGTAATCTTTCACAAAATATGCTGTATTTATTGTAATTTTTTAATATTTGATATAATGTATGTTTTTATGACATTGTTATTAGGTAGAGTTTGTCATGAAAGAATACAAATTGAACATCGAATACTGCATTATATTTTGGTTGAATGAGAATTTTACTGTATGGTAGGTTTCATATATGGAGTTAAACTTGTGGTTTTACTGATATTAAAGAATTGTTTGACAATTCCATCACCTGTGTGAAGACGTGCAATTTTAAATTATTTTTCTGCTGTGTTTATTATAAGTTTCAGGATATAATATTCCATTACAACATTTCACGAGATGGCATAGCTTGCACTGATTAATTTGAAGAAAATTAAATTGTCCATCAGTAAATTTAAAGCATTTTTCATAAAGCAGGTACACTGTGATCTGTTTGTTAAAACCACAGTTTTGGTTTAACTGTCTTTCAACACTTGATGTAATGCACGGTTAATGTATTATGAAAGTGCATAATAAAGATTTGACAGGTTCTGTAGTTGCCAAATGAGAAAGTAAATCAGCGTATATATGGGCATGTATTTGTATAGTTTGCCTTTTTGTTGTATAATTTTTAAACAATGAACAACTTTTCATACAAGACTCGTTTAAGTACAGTTCTTTTTACCAAATCTCAAAACAGACTTTCAGTGATAGATATAACACTTTCTTGTTAAAGATATAACACATTATTAAATCTTTCTGACCAAAACAGGTTTTAATATGTTAAATATTTTCCAACCTAATTAAATAACTTTAGTTTAATTAAACTTATTTTGTTGTACCTAGGTACAATATTATGCTTAGAAAAACAGATAAAAATATTAAAATTGTTTGTTTGTTAATAGTCTTGAGCACTTACTTTATAATGTCATTTTTTAAATATATTTGTAATGTTATGTATTTGTTTGTAAAAATCTAGCTATAAAAACTGTTTTATTCCAAACTATATTCTTATTACATTAAGTAGGAAGGTACTGTTTGAAAATGAGTGTTTCTGTCACCAGTAGAGCTGTGTTCACTAACTTACATTTAAGTAAAGCCGTGTAGTTATTTCATATTGACATAAACATCTTGCATAATTAGTTATGTCTGTTACTGATGTATTAATCTGTAGGTTTCAAGTGTGAATGGGCAACAGTAAAAGATGGACATCTTTATGTGGGAGGGCTTGGAAAAGAATGGACATCACCCCAGGGAGAACTTCTAAACTACAACCCTCAGTGGGTTAAAGTGATTTCACCAAATGGTGAAGTGCAGCATCAAGACTGGCGGGAAAAATATGTTTCAGTCAGAAAACAAGTTGGCATCGACTTTCCTGGTGGGTTGATCCTAAATTGATTTTATGATACATTTTACTTGTTAAAGTATTAGTGAGTAGTGAAGAATTACTGCTCTAATAAACTTGATTGGATGTGGTTTGATCATTGAATTTATCGGTATGACGTATTGGTAAATGCAATATTTTTATTTCTACATAACACACTAAACTGTGACAGTTTTAGTGTTAATTTTACACGGTGTACAGTGATGCATTTTTATTTGCTTTGTTTATTTAATCAACATTTTTTTTTTGCATTATTTCAATATTAATTAATTATAGTAAAGCCGTTGTAATCCTACATGATTGATGAAAATTTTGGTAAGTGATATTTCCAACTCTGTAGGTGCACAATTAAATAAATGTTTAACAAAATTACTTTTCTTTTATCACTAAATTATAGTTGATCAACCTTATGTACATCAAAAACACGACTTCAGCAACATCAGTTGAACCAAAATAATTTTTATGGGTTTATTATTTTACTTATCGATGCATTCTGAGTTAGTTCTACTAAATTTAAAGAACCACATTGATTGTTAAATGAGGGATAATAATTTCAAAGTCTAGGTTTTATTTTACTGGATAAAAGTGATATAACAAACATTTTTCTGTGCTCAGGATAATGATTCCAAGTTTGTGTCTCTTTTATACTCCCACAGGGTATATGATACACGAATCTGTTGTATGGAGCCCAATCTATCGAAAGTGGTTCTTTTTACCCAGAAGAGCAAGCACAACCCGATATGATGAAAAAGAAGATGAAAAAAAAGGGACTAACTTGATGATAGAAGCAAATGAAGATTTTACAACCATCAGTGTAAATACCGTAGGACCCTTAATTCCATCACATGGTTTCTCGTCATTCAAATTTGTACCTGAAACTTCAGATACTGTGATAATCGCTCTCAAGTCAGAAGAATTAGAAGGAAATGTATCTAGTTATATTACTGTTTTTACTACAGATGGAGAAATTCTTCAACCTGAAACCGAGATAGGGAAGTATAAGTTTGAGGGTATTGAATTTATATAAATATTTATAGTTAAAATTGATATTCCTTGAAATTTGAAGAGATTTTACTTTCCAGAGAAAATAGTAACAGTCTTCGAAGCTGTTTGGTTTTGCTGTGTAGTCCTTTACCCACCACTAATAACCTAAACTACTTTAGGTGTTTGGATAGCATGTGACTTACCATCACAAATATCTATTATTACTTAGCAGTCTTAACTGGTTATTTATTTGGTTTCTAATTTCTTGACCAAAACGTGGATATTAGTAAAGAAAAGATGATGTAGAGGCCTAACCTATTCTTTGGTTTGTTACTTCTGCTGCAGCCGACTAGTTTCGCAGCTCTTCAGTGTTGCTTGAAAGTATAAAGCAAATAGTGGAGTAACGGATGATGCACCCAAACCAAACAAACTGCTCACATTCCACCACCATATGAAGCCTGTTTTATTTCTTTTCTTTGCTCTTCCAATCGCACCACCGATGAGCTGTGAACTCAGTGAAAGTAGTAAATCAATGAATGGATAAAACTTCTGTGTCATCTTTTCTTCAAGGAAATTCAAATTTTTGATGAAAAATTAACAAAAACAGTCTCTGGTGGTTAACAACATAATTATTTGTAAAGTCCAAATTCTGAGTAAATGTACTTGCTGAAGTTTAATAAAATTCATTTAATTTTAGTACAATGTCAACATTTTTAGATTTGGATTGGTGATATTGTTTTTTAATTATTATTTACATAAGGATGAAATAAATATATGTTAAGTCTGTTAGGTCGATTGTTTATATATTTTTTGCATTTGATGTTTAGTGGGCAAGTCCTTAATGTGTAAAATTACACCTAAAAAAAAAGAGAAATGCATGCATGTAATGACAACTGGTTTGGTATTGTAAGAATCTAGTGTTAAGGTATACATTTGTGTAACAGTGTAGCACGTAAGGTTTTTAAACATTATCCCATGTTTAGCGAAATACATTAGAAATCACATATTCTCAAGAACTTTGCATTTAAAAAAAAAGAACGAAGAGTAGAAGATAAGCAGTGTGTGGACCCTAATAGGATGAGGCATTCATTAACACGGTTAAAAAACTTGTTTTTCAAAATCACAAAGCACAGGCAGAAGCAACTCGGTTAATCGTACGTTTTGATTGGATATAGTGTTTCAGTAGGTATTTATGTTTCTTCATGGTTTTCCAAATATCCAAACAGAAATAGTTATTTGTAGTGGCAGTGCATTTTTCTCAATTTGTTTAAAACTAGTTAAGACATTTTTAAAACACATGAAATACCAGTCTCATTTCACTTAAAATTAAATATCACTATTTCATTGTTTCCTATATCTTGTAGCGAAAAAAAAAAATTGGTGTAAAATAGTTGATAAATAATAACATAAATGTATAATTTTACACTGCCTAAGGACAAAAATAAATTATTACTGATTTTCACTGCTAAGATATTAGAAAAACAGTTTAGTTTCAGGTTATTACAAGTGAAGTAATAGATGATAGTATCCAATAAGTATGACATATGACTGCAGAAGAGATAAGTTTTCTCACAATATTGGGACTGTTTATTGAAATTAAATGTCACGAGATTTTGTAGACTAATTAAAGTTATCTTCTGTTTTCAATTTATGTTCATAGACACTGTTTTTAAGCCTAAAAATTTCAGATGTTCGGTCTCTCTGGTTATAATTTTCTGGGAAATTGTTAATTAGTTCAAGAGAGAGACAACATGTTTATGTGGAAGAGTAGGTTAGTTTAGTGTCTATTTGGTGAGATACAGCTCAATGTTTAAGCACAGTTTATTTCTAGTATCCCAGTTCTAAGATAGACTACAAATGTGTAGCACACGGTTGAGTGCCAAGTGTTTTTACTGTCCATCTTTTGCAAGAAAAGAGAAATCATAGCCTAACACATTGTAGCAACCTACAAGAAAAAAAAATACTGAATTACATATTGAGAAAAATATAAACAAATTATATCTACTCACATTCTCCAGTCACTTTCAGATAACTTGTGTTTTTAAGAAACTGTTATTCTACCCTAAAATAATCCTTAAAACACTGCCACTAATTTTGGGGCTAGTATGAAATTAAAAGGAGCATCATTTCTCAGCAGATCACATACTTATCGGTAGGTTATATATTTTGAAGAAGTTTCTAGACATTAAATTATCTCATGTTGGGATAAAAATAGTTCCCAGTGATTTATTCCTATACGTTACATCTTGAGTATTAATTATTTAAGATCTATACAACTCCATTGTATAGTTTTTTTTCATCGAGTCATATGTAACTGGACCGATGAGAAAGTATATTGCTTAGAAATTTAGTTCTCAGTTAGTTATTCTGTAATATTTGTCATCAAGTGTGAGTGAGCAAAAACGTTTTGTAATATATTTAATTTATAAAATGTTAATTGTACAGTATTGATCATCGGAACATAATTGTTGGTCATGAAACAGATTGATTTAAGTTTCATATTTGCTAATGAAATTATAAGCTTTCTGCTAATGTTTTAGTTTTAAAAAACTAGTTGTATAATAAACTGTGTTATTGTAGTAACCTTTATAAAGACGTAATTCCCTCAACTACAAACTAAATAATAAAAATATCAGTAGAGTTTGGTCATTTTAACTATTTTTGGAAGTCTTACAATTCTCTCACACATGTGATAATTAAAAATTTTCGTCTTTACATTAACAAGAAATTTGTTAAATTTTGGAAATATTTTTTGGTTATCTTTTCCCTTTGTTTTGGTATTGTTGTCATTACCAGAAGTTTACCTTCAAGTCAGAAATACATGTTCCTAAAGTAGCAGTTTAAGATGAACTTTAGTTAGTGAACTATTAGCAAAAATTATTTGAAAGTTTTATTTCCTAAGTGTGTACATATATCTTTTAGGTTTTCAGAAGAATATAATTTCCAGTAATAGATTAAATTAATAACTAACCTTTGATATCAGTATTGACAGTTCATGATTCTACTTTAGCAACTATTGATAAGTTTCAACAAAGGATTCCATTAATATTTCTTTAAATTTACTAAGGTCACACGACAAATCTTTTTAGGAGTTCTTTCCTGCATACTAATGATTGTTGTTCTGCATTATTTTTTTTTTTATTGCTGTTCAAATTGTGATAACATTAATATGTCAAAAACATACTGATATGGAAAAGGCTTTATTTAAATGAAGTTATGGTATGATATAGTAATGTATGTAGGAACATGTGAAACCCACGATATCAGTTTTGAACTTGAGAGTTACTGGAAAATCTTGTTTTCCGCTGCTACTCATATTTCTTAGTACACGGAATTAAAAATAGGGAAAAATTTCTTTAATGTAATTTTTTTTTGACAACCCTTTTTAAATTTGCAAGTCTAAAATAAACCTTCATGGTACTAATTTATCATGTATACAAACTGATCTTCAAAGTTCTTATCTTTTGTTTCTGATATTAAAAATCAGTTTCATGATGGATTGTATGGTTCAAAAATTGATATTTTAAACCTGAATGCCATCTCATGTGACATGTGGGCTAAATAGTCTAATTCATAACCGTCAACAGCACCCACCACCCATGTGACTACTTTTAACTGAATAGTGGAAATGATTGCCACTTTTATAACCCAACCACAGCTGACTCAAAATTTCAACCTTCTAATCAGCAGCTTGGTATGTTAACCACTAGGCAACATTTGGCAGCAGTCATAAGTTCGTAATTTAAAAAAAAGATAAGGAAATATTAATAATATAAAACAGCATATGCCTAATAAATTTTACCATTCAGTGTGAAGAAAAAAATTTATGCTCATGGGAATAAAAGTAGTGGGCATATCAGGTATGCCCCTAAAATATGCAAAGATTTAATTAACATATTTTAACAATATGGGAAAGGTTGTGATATTGTCAATTCCAAGTTTCTGATCTTCTGTTATAAATCTTGTTTCTTGTGTGTCTGTAATTTCCAGTACTGTTCTCTTCATAGTTCTGAAATGAATATTGTAGTGAGGCTAAAATTAAGAACTTTAAATTTTCCTTTTTTTAAACATAATATTGTATATTACAGCATGCTGGTATTTCTTAGTTAAAATTAACAGAACATCAGAAAACATGATTTTTTACAGAAACACTTATTTGGAGTATCCTGTTCAATACACAGTCATGCAAAGAAACTTATTTAGTGTTCATAATAAATATGATGCATTTCACTATTATCATGTAATAAAAATACAATTTAATAACATTATTGTTAATTATTTGAATGAAATTATTATAATATACTTTCCCTATATTTGAAAAGTGAAACTAGATTTTTGTGGACAATCCTAGTTACACTCATTAAAACAGTACCCATTAAAACTTCATGTATATTTTGTATTCATTCTTTAAATATTCTATGATAAACTTTTATGTGCCGTACATCATAATATATATAGACATTTTCTGGAAAGAGAGAGAAAAAGTGTCTGATAAAGAAATTGATAAAAAGTTGAAAGAGAATTAATGGTGAGAAATTTGTATATAGTTAATATTTATTGCTTTTTTCAAAATCAGGAAAAAAAAAAGGTTACACTTTTAATAAGAGGAGAAAACCATGAAAAAGAATATGGTACGTTGTCAAAACATATGGTTAGTGAGGCAGATGATGAACAGTTATTAAGGATTTGCAAGCCTGGTAGTTGCAACTTTTATGCTGGCTTTGACTGAGCAAAATTTGGATTTTTACACTTTTTTTTTAGCAAGTTGTAAACTTATTATTTTTAGGAATCCTGCAGGGATTTTTTTTATAAGTAAACTGAATAAAATTATATGATAGGTAATACATGATCAATATAAGTTATGAAAAGAAACTTGAGTCAAATATTCCTGAGTGTTATACCATCTGTTATTTGTATTTTATACTTAAAAAATTTAAAACTAAATCTTTTGTGTCTGTAAAAAAAAAACGGAAAAGTTGCAGCCAGCCACTTAAAATTTATACAAGATAATACTGTTCACTACTTTAATTATAAAATAATACTATGTTCAGTGTATCAATTAGTGAATATAAACAAAAGTTAAATATGGCAATAAGAAAAATGTCTTATTTTCACACGATATAAAATAAAGAAATGAGTGATATTAACATAATACCAGTGTTGGGACAAAGTACTTAAATATTTGCTATTTCAGAAACTGCAGTTTTAATTTTTATGTGAAATTTCAGTGTATTTCACCATTTGTTGAGATTCTATATATTTTGATCACTTTTAGAGGACCTTTCTACATGTAAAGTACCATTTTGTAAGAAAACTCGGAGTTTTATGGGATTCACAGATCACGTGCAGACTTGTTTGGAAAGGTTATTTATAAAAAAATTTGAAGACTTCCATGAAAGTCCTAAGTCCAATACAACAGTACCCGAGGTTCCACTTCATTCATTAACTTATCAAGATTACTGCATGATTCTATATTTAATAAACAGTGTAATGAGTCTAATGATTAAAATATTCATGAATTTTTCACCTTTCCACAATCATTTTAGAGTATATCTTTCTTTCAGGTAAAAAAACATCACAAATTTTTTTACAAAGGACCTTTGTTCTAAAGTCTTATGCTAGCACGCGTGTGTTTCTGTATGAAATTTGTGAAAGATAGCATATTTAATCAGGTGATAAAGAAACCTGTAGAACTGGCTTGGTTAAGATTGGGAGTACACTATTGGTTAAAGTATGGCCTTGTAAGATATGTCTTTCTTATTTTTACCAAGGTATTTAAGTTGGATATTTCCACAGCCTGTCTCTTCATTTCTATCTTTGTCTCTTGTTTTGCAGATTTTTGAACACAGTAGAAAAAAGCCTAATAGCCTAACACTGTGTTTGTTAAATAAAGAATTGTGTGTTTAAAACTACACTTGTTTGTTTGTCTTCCTGTACTGTCCATGTTCAGTTTATTGAGTGTATAACAGTCCTTAATCTACATTTTACAAATGCTTATCTGTTGTATATAGATACCATGAATACCACAACAGCACATTATCCTACTTGAAGATACAACAAGTGAACATTGCTGGAAACAGACCTATTCTCATATGGATACCATATGAAATGCTAAACCTTCATATGTTACAAAAAATTACCACTCATTACAATTAAATTTTATATATTTAAACAAGTACAACAATATTTTCACTTTGAATTGTATGTAAATCTGAGCTTAGACATTGCTGATGTCCTTAAAAAAAACTACATCAAACAAGAATATCATGTAACCACATTTTCTGTCAAAGTAACAACTTCCATACAATAAACAGGTACCTTATCTTTCCAAAAACATGTTATAAAGTAACAACTTCCATACAATAAACAGGTACCTTATCTTTCCAAAAACATGTTATAAAGTAACAACTTCCATACAATAAACAGGTACCTTATCTATCCAAAAACATGTTATAAAGTAACAACTTCCATACAATA